TTTGTATTAGTGTTTATTGTAGTAATCTGTAGTGTGTAGGTCTACATGGGGGGCGGGGCTCATTACCCCGGCGTGTCTCTGGCGTCCATGTAGGACCCCCCCTTGCTAAAGACCACCATGCTGTCCCTTTTGCACATCTTGGGACACTGGTGCGAAGCTAAAACAAAAAAGGAGTTAGTCATCTACGGTCTAGGGGCCGACTAACCTCTCCCTTAGATTTCGGCCGAGCTTCCTGATCAGTCTTTAAATCTCCGGATAGCGGTGTCGGGGTCGAAATCTCCGGCGTAGCCGTAAATGCTTCGCGCTGCCATACGACGGTTCAGCACTCGATGTCTGGAAGTATGGTCCTAGTCTATTTGATTACCGAAACAATAATCCAAAAAAAAGCTTATATTCCTAGAAAATGAACTTTTAAATAGAAAGAGAATGCGCTTTAAGTTGGCCTCTAGTAATTTTTTTAATGAAAAGAAATGAAAAAGCCATTGCTTCAGCTGATGTAGTTCTAATTATTTCCCGAGTTTAAATCAAAAATGTGGTCAGAAAAAATACTACTTTTACCCTAGTAAATAAAAAATTATTTATTGAAACTAAAAGAGATATATTGGTTTAAACACAGGGTAAAACATGCTTTTTTTAGCCTTCCTTAATTTTTAAATTTTTCAAATCATTAAAAGACTTAAGGACATTGGACAATGGACATTGCATGCGCATGCGCATTTTTGTTTAATTATTCGATCGTGATTGGCTTATTTGTAGGAAGATTGTAAATGTGGCCTTTGTTGTAGTCGTACTGTTACTTAGTAAAAAAAACATTTTCAAGTTGATTAGATCGAGTGTCTTATCTAGCTTTTCATTGATTTATCGCAAGAAATAAGTATATATGACTTTTATTTGCTTTTGATATTTGAATTTCTATACTAAATCGAATTACATGTGTGTTTTTAATTAATATTGGGTAACAATTTAGAGTTTTGAAGGACAAAAATTGTTCTAAGCCCTGCACTGAGCAGCTGAAATGGTCGGAAGTGTTAAAATCTTGACAAAATGCATATGGATATTTCAATTTTTGTGTTAATTTTCTTCTCACTGGGCGCCGGGGATCGAATGATTATGTCACGGCAGTACAATTGTTTCACCAAGAACCGAAAGACAAATTGTTTACTTTGAAAAGGTTATTAACAGGAGATAGAAAAAACAAATTTCAAGGGAATAAATTTTAAAAAAATATAAAAAAATAAAGAAGATAGGTGCATTTTAAGAGGAAAAATATTTGTACAAAGAACTGAGAAGATATCGAAGAGAAGTAATATACTAAACCAGGAGTTCATAGTTATGAACTTCTGACTAAACACATGGAAGAGTATTTCATCCGATATCCAAACACTCTTTTAAGTGCTTGATACGGCTTCTCAAACTATTAATAATTCTCGGAGAAATTCAAAGCATAAACTGCCCAATTGTTTTTGCTATTTCAGTAATGCTTTTAATTTTCAAACCGTCTTCACGCTAATGATTTTGAGAAGAGCTAGAGAGGAGAGAAGAGAAGAGAAGAGAAGAGAAGAGA